CCCACCCACACCCACACCCACCCACACGCACACCCACACCCACACCCACACCCCTGTTATATATTAGGAAATTAGAAATTTCAGAGTGAATGGCCATATTATCGATACAAAAAGTACAATCATTATCGAACAAAAATGTAAAGTTACTCCTACATTTTTGAAGTCTATTGGCACATAAATTGTATGAACAAAATTTGGAAGCAATAAATTTAAATACGATATCGAAGTTATAGGCAATAATACAGAAGAGTAGAAAATTCTCTTTTCATGATTTTATTGTATTTAACTCATGAAACAGTTTCTTTAAAAGAAAGAAGAACTTCGCTTCCTAGAGTATTTAAGATCAAATAATCATGCCTACACATTTAGTCAATTACGATAGCAGCATCCATGTCACATTGACAAAAAATGAAATTTAATAACTCCTTTGAAATTACAGAAATAATACAGTACCCGGTGGCATATGAAAAGAGTATTTTTTATATCTCTCCCTCTTTTATTATTTAAGTCTCAATGGAGGTGTATGATCGAGTTTCATATATTTAAATCCTCATTCTATAAAAGCAATTATATAACAGATACGAATCAAACACAAAGAACATTATTGTCTGAATAAAAACTCATCAAAAGTTGTTGATAATCAAAGATGAATTCGGAAAGAAACCTCTTTGTTCTAATGTGTATATTGTACTGTGGTGTTCTTGGAAACATTGATCCAATTGGACTGAAAACATGTGCTAGCATTCGTGGATTAAAATTTGGCACGGCAGGCAGTATAAGAAATACTCGAGACAATGTCAACAATGGTCAATACAATCAGTATATGAAGAAGAATTATGAGTTATTTGTACCGGCAGGTGATTTACAATCTCAAAATATATGGCTTGGTGAAAACAGGTATAATTGGAATGCTTCTGATTGGTTACTAGGTGCTACACCACAATCAACAGGATGGGCTTAAGAAAATTCTATAGAAATTCGAGGCCACAGTTTACTTTGGGCTAATGATCAAAGAATTGCTCCTTGGTTATTACGACAAGAGTCTTCGATATCACCGGAAAAAGCTAAGTTTTTGTTGAGTGACTACATTCATACTATTGTCAGTCGTTATAAAGGCAAGATTACATCATGGGATGTGATCAATGAAGCTGTTGATGTAGATCCGAATAACCCTCGTCCATTCAATCTTCGAGATTGTTTCTGGTACAGAAAACTCGGTCAAGATTTCATTAAATATGCATTTCTTTTTGCTTATCAAGCAGATCCACAAGTACAGTTATACTATAATGATTATCATATTGAAGAATGGGGAATGAAGTCAAGCAAAGTTCTTCAACTACTAACATGGGTAAGATCACAAGGAATTCCAGTGCATGGAATAGGCATGCAATGGCATACGGGTCTTTGGGTTACGCTTCGTCCTCAAGATTCATTTTATCATACTGCTCAAACATTCATCGACAATGGATTCGATATCATGATCACTGAACTGGACGTATCTTTGACCATGAATGGCAGTGTACTTCAGAATCCCAATGATTTATTAAAACAAGCATCATTATATCGTTCTATAGTGCAGTATGCTCTAAATTTTCGTCCGAAGCTTCGTGCACTAATCACTTGGGGATTTACAGATCTCTATAGTTGGATTCCTCTGTTCTCTAATTACACAAGAGGTGCTGCGCTACCAACTGATGAGAACTATCAACCAAAACCAGCTTATTGGGAAATGCAGGAAGAATTGGCACGTGTTCTTCCGAATGGAATTTATCGTTTGGTACCAGAGTCCCAATCAGATAAATGTCTTGGTATATATGAAAATGGACACCCTGGTGAAGTTCAAATTTATACCGAACAACAAAATAATCCGAATCAAATGTGGAATCTTGCTTGGCTTGGTGATGGTTCATATCAGTTAATCCCGAAGAGTCATCCAACTTATGCTCTTACTGCTCACCGTGAAAATACGACATCAAGTGGTGTAAATGTGGAACATTGGCATAGTGGTAACAACCAGAGATGGATTCTTTCTCCAGTTACAATTGAGACATACCGTATTGCGCCACGTACAGTTTGGCAGAGAGCATTATCAATTGGAAGTATATCAAATGTTTATATCCATGATTACATAAAAAATGCTGATCAAAATTGGATGTTCATCAAACTCTAGATACACTCTAAACTTTGATTTTTGAAAAAAATTCAGAATATTCCTTTTGAAAGCATGAATTCTTGAAAGATATGGATACAGAAATGATCACATAAAATTGTGTTCACAGACTAAACATCGCTAAATTTATTGGTGGTGACGAATAGTTATGTGTATTTATGAAGAGCTCTTTTCAATGACAACAAACTGCTGATTTATCTTGATATCTACAGTATCTACCAATTTCATTGCGTCATGATTACGATAATTTAAGATTGACAACTAGCACATTCTTCTTGAGTGCAATAGATATTACCTCATTAAAATACAACTATATCTAGTTCACATAAAATAAAATAATAGAAGGAAATAGTTTATTTTTAAATAATTTGCTCTTGATTCAATGAGCAATTCCATTTGGTTTAAATTTAACGCCGTAGGTGTCATTGCATGATACGAAATCTTTACCAAGATTAGTCATTTGAACACCTGTACTATCACTTCGATAAAAGACTTGGTTGGTTGTTGCAGTGATCACGATGAAAAATAATGCAAAATCGAGAAACAACAGTAATCCAATTTCTCTCACGATTTAATGTTGATTTCAACTAGATGTAACATTTTGAAATGTTTACCTGGCAAGAATGTTCGCTTTTCGTCTGTAATCCTTTGATTGACCGTGATAAAATAATGAAACAAACCTCATTGGTTAGTTAGATATCGATACAATGTGTGATTTGATTGTTGTGAAATGAAAAATAGTGTACTTTTGTCTAAGATTCAGCAATATCGAGAATGCATTGTTTGTGCTCGACTTACTGATCCTTAAAATAATGAGTCAGCTGTCCCTCTTATTGATTGGAATAATCAGAAATCTTCAGAACTCATTTCTCTAATGATTCTATGATGTTTCTATTGATATTACGGTATCACAGTCGAGAAAGACAGTGATATTCATAGTGATTCCAGAGTCAGTGGAATCACGTAGAATCAAACGGAATCACATGGAATCAGTGGAATCACAAAGAATCAACAGATATATATGTTGCAGTAGGGATTGGAATAGCGATTCTTTATTATTCATCCACTATAATACAGCAGTCATCGAAAAACAGATACTTCCTTTTTTATCAGACATTTTTTCATTAAAAGATATTATCTTTTACTCTTCTAGCAATTGAGATGTTTTTTACTTTCTATATCTTTTTAATTCGGGGACATTCAGCGATTGATCAAAATTTATTTTTCTATTTTTCAAAATCTTTTTTTTTCTTACTATACCTTTAAGGAAATCCATGTCTTTTTGATAATTTCTAGATCTGAAAGACGGTGTATTCGATCGAGCTGAACTTTTTACCACAAATATAACACCTAAAATGAACAGACACAAATTCGAGGAAAAAATTTTCTCAGAGTTTCTGGTGGTTTTTTCATCTTGACAAGGGAAACTCCGATAAGACTTTGTTCGAATCGGCTCAAAATTTTTTTGCAGGCGTCTATACTTACATCTCAGAGGTAGTTTTGGGCTTTTTCAAAAAATTCCCTTACTTTTTTTTTATAAAAAAAATACGTAAAAATACTTGATCAGGATAGAATGTGGACTTTCAAAAACGTAGAAATTCGGATGGAAAGGTCAAATTTAAAAACGGTTGATTTAACCTCTGAGCCAATCTCCAAAGTATCTATGATAAAAATTTCAATCCGAACAGACAAAGTTAAGAGTGGATTTTCCTTGTCGAGATTAACATTTTTGTATGAAAACCTAGTTTTGAGGCAAGCGCAAAATAAGTTTGAGAAGTAATCTCATTACAGAGATACGCTGAAAGTCCATTTTTCAACGATTCTGTGGACAGTCAGTTACGGCCCATCTCATGAACATATCAAAAAAAATTTTTTTTTGAGGGTCATGGATTGTCATAAAAATCAAACAAAAAGTCAACTGCAGATCGAACTGAGCTCATTCAAGCACAGACTTCTAGGTTAATACGCAGCCTATTATTGAGCGCATGGGGATATGCAAAGTTTTTTTGTATCGCCATAATAAAAATACTCTTTCTTTTATTAGAATGAAAAACTATGTTTTAGCATATATTTTTTTCAGAGTGCAAAATTAGGAGATTGAATAGTTTAGAATACAAGAAAATATAATTTTTAAAAAAGATTTGGTGCATTATCTTAGAATTATAACAGAAAATTAGAGATTTGTTTGATTATTAAAGGATAAATAAAAATACAAGGTTTAATTATAACGTTACTCATATAAATAAGACACAGAATTGCTTATGTTAGAATGAAAATTAACTTTTTTTGTTTTCTTCTTATATATAATAATATAATATGTACTAATACATTTCGAAATAATAAGATTAGTACCCTTTCTCTTTACAAGTAATTTTCAATATTAATTTATTTTTCTGTTATTATTTCGCGCATTCCAATCTTAACTGAATTCTCATATCAACTATATACGAAAATGTCTCCTTTTTATGATACTGAATAAATATCAATAATCTCTCGTGGTAAAAAAGGTTTCTTTTTTTTTAGTCATTAATACATTGAATACAAAAAACTATTAGTTATAAATATTAGATCTTCTCATGCTACTTCATAAATATGACTATTTTAACTTACGTTCTATTCTTAGAGAAATAATTGAAGATTTAATCATGAGAAAACTTGAAATAAATTATTGTTATTACGATAGAGAGAGATTAAATGATTTAATTATACAGTCAATAGTTGTCTGATGAGCAAAATACTGATATTTTTTATTCACACTCAGAGACAAATTTGTCCTACTTACTATTGAAAGCGTTGTTGTAGAGAACAACAAAAAAGCAGCAAACAAAATTTCATTAGTAATGTCTGAACGTATGTACAATGCAATTTACTGTTTCTTTTCAAGAATTTCTTTCTGCAATCTTATTCTTTAATCATCAAAGTTTATTCTACCAACTACAGAACGAATATTAGTATTGTAATAATGAATAATAAAAAAGAGTGAATTCAGTTTTCATTAAAATAGAATTAGAAAATTTTTTCTTAAAAAGTTTTTTCAAATATTCTTGTAGTAGTCATTAATGAATGAAGGAGATATTCTGCGTCGATACATTATTATTATTGTAAGATTTTCCGTCTAGTTTTAAAAGAAAGAGAAACAAATTAAAAAAAAAAATCTTTTTTTTTCTTCACATCATTTGAACGTAATAAAGCATTTTCATTCTTCTTTTTTAAATGATGATAGTTTAATTGATTGTAAATATTTATTTTTTGTTATACATTCTTATCCTCGTTTATATCAAAACAAATGAATTGAGTTCATTTGAAATAAAACAATCCGACATGATCCAGATGTATAGATATATATGTCGATAAGAACGTTTCTGTCATATCCAGGATCGACTATTATAATAAAGATACGATAGTATAGTCGATAAATATTCGTCGGACGCCGTGCAGAATCTATAAGAAGAAGAAGAAAAATCCAACTCGTCATTTACTTTTATTTACAAAATATTTAACAATGTGGATTGACGACTATTCTAGTGACGATGAACAACAAATTTCAGGTCTAAAAAGTGGTAAAATAACAGAAAAAAATCCAAATAATGAAAAGAAAGATAAATGTAAATGTTCGAAAGGATGTTCTAAACGAACATGTGTTTGTTTCAAATTTGGTAGTGGATGTAATTTATCATGTGGTTGTGGATCATCTTGTCAAAATATGTTCAATTCTTTGGAATATTTCTTTGGTAATGATAAAAAATATTCAGCTAATCCATGTTTTTCAAATTGGCTTGTTGAAAATGTTAAAAATGCTGATGAATTAAAACAAATCGATCGAAATCAATTACAACAACATATTATGAAAGCTGCTTGGTAAAGAATTCATTGATAATCTAAACTTAATTCTTTTTTGTTTTTATTATTCTAGTTATTCTGATGCATGTGAATTTGATAATGATCTTGGAGAATGGGCAGAAGAATGGCAAAAAATCAACAATGATGAAAAATTAAATCATATGCAAAAATTGTTTCGTATGCTTTTATCTAATGATCAATCGAGTTATTTTTATTCATTCTGTCGAGAAGATTTCGATCAAAATAATTGTACATGGCATTGTGTTAAATGTCAAGAATGTGCAGATTGGAGAGAATGGCATTGTGGAGAATGTAAAAAATGTAAGAATTTCATTATTTTAATATTTTGCTTTTATGTCAATTTTTTTCTTTTATAGGTACTTATGGTTTGACTATTCCATGTAATGGATGTGGTGGAAGAAGTAAAATGTCGAATATGTGTTAAAAACTTTAAACAGCTGTCTATTTATTGTTTATTTTTTTGTTATCATAATTAATCACATATGTTAAAATAAATAAAGAGTTCAAAAAATCTTTTATCAAATGTTAAAAGAAAACAAAAGACTAACGCTTTTGTGCAATATATCTTCTAATTTCTAGCCGAAATGTATTTATTTTTCCTGGGAACTATTATACAAGATAATGAACAAACTATATTGCATCAACAACTATAGAATCTAATTTGATTTGCTAGATGATAATTGTTTGTCATTTTTATGCATTACAACTACTAAACTGAACTAATTTACATGGATATTGAACTTTTTCATAAGATGCCATTAAGTTACTGTTATTTTAGTAGAAGTCCAATTGAAAGAGACATGCTCATTGAAGTTATTTTGGAAGGAACCAGAGATGCAAAATCATAATTTCAAAAATTAGTAGTTCTTCTTTTGAAAATTAGAAGTTCGTCAAGGGAATTTTTTTCAATATCAGGAGCTCCTTGTTCCTAAGTCGACAGGATTTACTCCGTGGTTGAAGGAAAAAAAATCTCTTGTAATTGAAATAAATAGAGCAAGATTATTCATTTCATTTAATCTTTATTTCCATATTCACGTCGGCACAACCTATTAGAATATACAAATTATAGAAAGACAAACTCAAATTAAGGAATACGACAATCAAAAGTCATATCATAAAGAGTGATCCAAAAGTTTCGA